ATGAATTTATCTTTCGTAGTTTTCGAGAAAATTACATCAGAATGTGTAAAAAATGCTTATTTTTTTCGAGGTTGTTTTAAATTTTTATTCATAACTTTTCCCGGTATGAACCGATTTTGCCCATTTTCAATACCAAACTGCTTAGGACAACAATGAATATTTTCGGAGAATTTGGTGTACTTCCTTTGCTTAGTTTTAACATGAGCGTGTTTTAGGCAGACAGACGGACAGACAGGCGGACATAGCTAAATCGACTCAGAATTTGATAAGGACCTAGAATATATATACTTTGTTGGGTCTCAGATGAATATTTCTTGGTGTTACATACGGAATGACAAAGTTATATATACCCTCTATCACCACTGATGGTGGTGGAGGGTATAAAAATCGGTCTCACAGGCCAACGCGCGGGTATAGGAAGGTTAAAAATAAATAAATTTTTCGGGAATATATACATATGTATGTACATTTATACGGGAGGTCCGATTTCGACAATTTTCAACAGGGATTAAGTTTTTGTAAAGAAGCAAATATGTATGTCATGATTTTAATGGAACTATGTATATTGCAAAGTTTTTGTAAAAATTTTATAAGAATGTGTCAAAAAACTTCCTTCTTTCGGAGTTTTTTTTTTAATTTTGATTCATAACTATTCACAGTGTCAACCGATTTTCAATACTAAACTCCGTAGGATATTAGTGAATATTTTGGGTGATGTCCGTCCGTCTGTCCGTTTATGTAAACCTTGTAATCAAACTACAGGTCGCAATTCTGAAGAGAATTCAATGAAATTTTGTACGTAATCTTCTATTGTCCCTGGGACGAAGCTTATTGAAAATGGTGATCGGTCCATTATTTCACCTAGCCCCCATACAATTGAACCCCGGAATAGGGCTTGTAAACCTTATAATCAAACTATAGGTCGCAATTTTTATGATAATTCAATAAAATTTGGCACATGATCTTCTATGTTACCGAAGATAAAGCCTATTGAAAATGGTTAACATCGGTCCATTACTTCACCTAGCCCCCAATCCGACGAATAGGGCTTTTAAATTCATAATTATGTTTAATAAACTCGTATCTCTACAAAAAGCTGCAAAACCAAGTGCTATACTAACCTTGATGACTCTCGTGAATTTTATAATTATAGGGTCTCATTTGACCATAGCACATATGCAAAGCCCCCTTCAAAATTTGACTTAAACGTCCATAATTTTATTCAACAATAAATGGCTTAAGTATATCTGAGGCAAGGTACAATTCAATTACAATGCTTTATTATGAAAACTAAATGACATTTTATTTTTGTAACAGGTGTAGGGTATTATATGGTCGGCCTCGCCCGACTATAATTTCTTACTTGTTTTAAAAGTTGTGTTGCATCAGGTAAAATGTATTTAATTTCGCAAAATATCAGAAAATCTACGACATGATGCTGCTGCCCATATGAAACCGTATTTAGACTTATGCACAGCGATAAACAGAAAGGCTTTGCTGATGATACAGTTAAAAACGTCTTTGTGACCGAGTTGTAATGTGCATGTATCGCAATTTTGCTTAATCGATTCCACTATATATAAGAATCCAGAATTTATATACTTTATAGGGTCGAAAAATTATATTGTGGAAATTACAAACGGAATGACAAACTTAAGCTGGATATGAACACGACGCGTTTATATGATATTTTTTGGGTCTAAACGAATAAAGGGTATTGATTTTTATAATATAAAAATTATAATAAAATTAAAACCACTTTAATAATTTACCACTTTCAAAAAAAATATATAAGGATTTTAAAGGTAAAAGTAGTTTTTAGTAGTTTAATATTACACCGTGCAACAGTCATTTTCACACGTAAAAAAATCTATGTGTACAGGAAACTTTTACCATTAGTATTAACTCTGTTTACTCAGTTTTTCATAATCAGCTCTTATGCCCCCTGTAAAAGGACCTTAAAGTTTAAAGGACATACAATTTCAAAAGACTAAATTTCAATAGACTAAATTCCAAATTTATATAAAAAATTTGGTATTAATATTAATATCAACTGAAGCTGAGTATAATGTTATATATTTCAATTCATCAGGATTAAAAAAGAAATGGAAGCTTAAAAATTAAAATGTCTTACAAAAAATAGTTCAAATTTTTTGTTTCAAAAATGAGACTTTTTTAAATTTATTTTAATTTTCAATATTTTGTCTATGTGAGTCAAATAAATAATATTGATAAAATGTATAGATTCTCAGCTTTCATTTGATATCAATATCATAAAACACATTTAAATATTTCAAATATTCGTCCTTTAAACATTGAAGTTCTTTTATAAGGACATAAGAGCTGATTATAAAAATCGGAGTATGCAGAATTACTCTAAATGGACTCTAGTTTCACATGCATATAAGCTTTTCCATATGTGAAAGCTTTTTTCAAAATTGTTACAGGGTGTTATAAGTATTTCACTGCAATATATGAACTCTCTATATTCAGGAACAAAAAGAAAAGTTTGCGCAAATTTGCGCCATTTTTTTAAATTTTAATTTTTTGTAAATTTTAAAAAATATCCCTTTTTTACTAAAATACAAATATATGTATATAAAATAAAATTTTTACAAATGATCAGAAATTGTTCTATAACGTAATAAAATATGAATCTATATTTTCAAAAACAAGAAAAAATTTTGCATAAATATGCGCAATTATATGTTCCGTTAATTTTACCTTTTTTAAATAAAAATGTACAAAAATATTATCGTACTTAGAATTCATTTACAAATTAAAAAATGTTTTATTACAATTTTTGCGATAAAGTAGGGATCTAGGGACAATTATGGGCTTTGATCATAATAAAACTGTAAAATTTTTCACATTCATATGTATAAAACTCGTTCACGTTAAATTTGATTGCGATACAAATATTTTTAATTCAATTATGAATGTTAAAGTGATTTTCATAATAAAATTTGGTAAAATGATTAATTTTCGTATAAAACTCGTTCAAGTCAAATTTCATCGCAGTATTCAATTATAATTTTTCCAACTGATTTTCTTATAGGGCCTTATTTGGGACCTAAAAGCAATTATGGACCGACCATAACAATATAACACGTTCATGACGATTTTTGTCAAGAAATTAATTTTTTTGTAGGTATATATGTATGGAATTTTTGGAGGATTTATCATGTTTATTTTACACAGTTTTAAGGATGCGCTCTGTATATTATATCTGTGAAATTTCGAATAGGTCTGAAGACAGCGCTTGATGTATCATTTTAGATTTAGTATTAGCAAGTAGTTATGTATGTACGTAATCCCACCTAGTTGTGATGAATAGAACAAGATTGCTGATAATTTTCCACTTATAGAGAAAAGTGATATCTCTTGTTGATTGCATCACTATTGTTAAATGAGGACTGTCTCGAATTGTCTTTAAGAAGCCACTCCAGTCATACTCTCCACTAATGAATTTATTAAGTTTTGGTCAATATTTGGACAATATATCTCATATTTTTCAAAGAATTTACATCTGGCGAACAATCTGGCCACTCTAAAACTGTTGTATTTTTAGAGTTAAACCACTTTTAGGTAGGTCAGCGTTAACTTGCTGAAAAATTAATTTTTCTCAGCATTTTGTGGCATAATGTTCATTTTACTTGAAACAAATTGAAATTCGATACCCCCGTTGCTGCAAAACTGCTCTCCAAACCATCAGCGATCCACCGCCAAAAATTTTCTTGTAGAAGTGTAGGGGTTATTTTCTAATGTCTCTCCAATAGCCTCTGTTTCCTTCTGGACTATCAAGATTGCATTTCATTTCATCTGAAAATATACATAGCGTTTTTAATATTTTTTTACAAAGTCCGATATTATATAATTCGCATATTAGTGGTGCTATTGTTTTTACTTGTGTTAGTAGTGCTTACTGGAAATTAGCCCGACAGAGTCGTTTTCATTGTGGTGACTTAATTTATAAAATTAATATTAAAATTTATATTTGTTTGATATATTCTAAAGCTTAATTCGAATCATTGTGTGAACTGGTAAATATTTCTAAACGCTTCACATGATGATCCGCTTTTGTTAATCTATTATTATTATTATTATTATTATTGTTGTTGTCATTGGAATTTGCTGTTAAGATTTCAGGCATTACTTTACTGTCATCGAGGAATTGTAATTTGTTAAGTGTCCCAAATTGGTGCCATTGCTGTAGATCGTCATGAAAAGTTGCCTTTTATTCAGTTCTCCAATTTTTTTGGGAACGTAAACCATTAAAACATGAATAAAGTCCTTTGTAGACAGCGGAGGACTGCAACAGTTTGTGTGCTAGATATCGTTTGAACTTAGGAAACGTTCATGTAACATAGGACCGTATGTATATATGTACGTATAGCCATTATGAACAGAAGTAATATGATCTGTCAACATTTTGTGTAGAAGAGAACGGATTGTATCGTCTAAACGCAATATTTAACAAAATTATCACACAGTGAGAGAAAATACAGATGGAAAATTTGACAGTCGTATGGCTCTCTTCATATTTTGAAATGATTCAAAAAACAAGTAAGTCGCATTAGATCAGGGATGTATTTTTATGTAAACACATACAAAAAAGTGAAACAGCTGTTTTCATCTTACTTTGTTATTGTTTTATCCAATCGTGTAAACACGAAAAATATAAATCATACGACTTTTATTCTCTTTTTTGTCATACGGATGAAATTTAATTTTACTTTTTCATTAGACTTGTCATACGTAAAGTGTGATCGTCTGAAGTGGGGAAGTTTCTTAGCAAATTGGTCGTAAGCGTAAAATACGTCTTATAAAATGCATAAGAAGTCATGAGATAGACAAAAATGTCGGCGCATGCACTTCTTTTTTTAATATTGTGGCTGTTCGGAAATGCATCACTGTGCTGCATCCGATGTGCAGTACGTTTGGAAATGCATTATAAAAATATATGATGCGCAAAATTTAGCTAAACTAGCATCATCAAAATGGCATCAGCCATAATAAGTAAGTATTTAGCATGATGTGGTTGTTGATGTTTTTCCTGGTATTGTGTTGTATTTATGTAATAATTGTTCAGAATCGCTAGATTGGCATGTTTGTCGACCAGCAGTTGCCCACTTGTAAATTGAACTATAGCCGAGCTTAGTTTTTACCTGTGAAGAATCATCACCCCTGGAGAAATTTAGATTTTTCTAATCAATTCTATTCTACTCACATTGTCACTTGTTTTTATTACCAAAAGATACATATCTATGTATGTACGTGTGGCTAAAAACCTCTATCGTACGCATTTAAGGTAGCAGATGATAAGTTATGAATATTAAGCAATTGACACCAATTTCTATATCTTAATTATGTCTTGCATCATAAAACGCACACGACTGCGGATTTTGTTATTATTATTCATTCTAAGATTGTTGTTAAACGAATCTGCATAATTACTTACTAGTGCGTTACCGACCGTTGTCAATAAGACCTGGTTTACATTGAGCAATTTTTCTTCCTCAAGTTCATGATCAAAATCCAAAAAATTCTTAGTGTAAACGAGGTAAACTTTCCTACATTGGCATGTTCGAGCAATTTCATTGCAAAAGTTGATACTTCTGATGTTCTAGTTCAGCTTGTAATTTGACTTTTTCTTGCTGTTCGGCTGCTTCATTTAATTTTTTAATATTCTGCAGCAATTTGCGTTCCTTGGTAACTGTATTTACAGTGAATTCTGTATAAATTAAATATAATATTTACTTATATTAGTCATTTCTTTCAACAAGATATCAGCACTCCGACGCCAGCTTGTTCAGAACTCCCCGGACTTTTTTCAAGAAGTCTTCATAACACCATCATCATGTTTAATCTTTTTAGTCGTTGGTGAATTATAATTTGAATTACTTCATTTAATGACAAGTTGTTGCGTATAAATCACATTGTTATGATTGATGATCATTATAATGCAAATATTAGTAATATGTGAATTTTTTTATTGTTGTAATTTATGTTTACATTTATTGATATCTTTATTGGTCCATCCATATACTAAATTTTTCAACAAACAGTGTATGTGTTTTTATATACATAGGTTTTTGTTCTAATCGATATAACTGAATTTGGTTTATACTGATAATTATAACGTCAAAAAGTGTATTTCAGTGCGAATCTGCGAGTGTAATAGATCAAGAGATCCAAAATAACTTTCTCAGGCGATTTAATATGGTCCGTCCATCTTTATATAAACATTGTGCTTAGCGTGAATTAAAGTTTCATTACATGTACATTAGGGGGGCCCCGTTTGTATGGAGGATAGATACCATTTCTCAATATCGAATTTCGATAAACTGAAAAAATCGTTTCGGTGAAATAATATGAAGTTTATAATGTAATAATTTCAATTAATTACATTAAGTAATTCTATGTAAAAATTTTAAAAATAAAAAAAATTTCCGAAAAATTACAACATTTGTAATAATTTAGGAGTCGTATACAAAATTATGTTATATCATTGAAATCTCTCAAAGTCCTCTTTGCAATATGAAAAAATTAAAAACCTTAAAAAAGGACCTTTTTATCCTTTGATCCAGCTCACCAAATATTGACATCATGACAAAATTTTTGAGAATTGGTATCTTAGAACAAGTTAGAGTGTTATATTCGGCTATGCCGAATCTTAAATACCCCTCACCAGCAAGCTACTTTTTATTGAAACCCATCTACCTATCTATTTTTTAGATAACTTGCCAAAATTTTTGTCAAACTAATTTTGATTAGGTCCAGAAAAGTTTAGAATGATTTATCTATACAAAGAACATACTCATGTCGAATTTTATCCGGATATAATAATTTAAAAACGAATTAAGTGGTATTAAGTGATTTTCAGAAGTTAACCTTATATAAGAGCTAAGACAACTTATGGACCGGTCCGGAAAAAATTCCGTTTAATATACAAAATACCCATTTATGTCAAATTTTATACCTATATCTAAAATATACGTTTAAGTAATTTTCAGAAATGGTCCTTATATGGGAGTTGTGACCAATTATGCACGGATCAGGAAACAATTTCGTATAATGATTTATATGCAGAAAAAGATCAAGTCTAATATTACTCCAATAGCTTTATTAATCAATGCAATATGTGCGTTTAGGTGATTATGACCTTATATAAGAGCTATTACCAAATATGGACCGATCCAGAAAAAATTTGGTATAATTTTTTTTATGCCTATCCGGAAAAAATTTTGTAGAGTGATTTAAGTAAAGACAAAACATATTAGTGTCGAATTTTCTCATTTTGAAATGAAATATGTGCGTTTAAGTGATTCTCAGAAGTGGACCTTATATGTGAGTTATGACCAATAATGGACCGATCCGAGAAAAAAGTGGTAGAATGATTTATATGTACACAAAACTTATTTAAGTCGAATTTTATCCCTATAGCTTTAGAATTCAATAAAATATATGCGAGTAAGTGATTTTCGGAAGTGGACCTTATATGGTAACTATGACCAATTATGGGCCTATTCGGGAAAAATTTTGCAGAGTGATTCATATATGGACAAAACATGTTTGTGTCGAATTTTATCAAGATAGCTTTATTTGATAATGAAATATGTGCTTTTAAGTGATTTTCGTAAGTGGGCCTTGGAAGGTATCAACGTTAAGGACTTGATCACCAACGTTGGCTCCGGTGTCGGTGCTGGTGCCCCCGCTGGCACTGCTGCTGCCGGTTGTGATGCCGCCCCTGCCGCTGGTGAAGCCAAGAAGGAAGAGAATAAGAAGGAAGAAGAACCTGAGGAATCCGATGACGATATGGGTTTCGCTCTCTTCGACTAAATTGACAGAATTTTACCCACCCAAATTTTACCCTGATAGCTTTAGAATTCAATGAAATATATGCGTTTAAGTGATTTTCGGAAGTGGACCTTATATGGGAGCTATGACCAATTATGGGCATATACAGAAAAAATTTCGTAGAATGATTCATGTTTAAGCAAAACATATAAAAGTATAAAATATGTATGTACGTACATTTGCGAATGTTCAAAGTTTAAGGGCAACTTTTGGGGTAATCGTCAAAAGAAGAAAAAAGAAAATACTTGCAACATTAAAACAATGTGAACGTATTGATCTTATAAGTGGATTCGAAGCTTAGAGTATTTTTAACGATATGGATTTGACGATAAATCTGTAAATGTATTTAAGAGAAAAATTGCAATATTCTTCCACTGTATTATAAACTTAACTAAGCCAAATAAATTTGTTATCCGCCGTCAATAGAAATATGAAATTCTTACTCTAAAGACCAACTGGATCACACCGTTTGTAGAATTTTAAAGGTTGATCCATTAAGTGAAAATAATTTGGAAAATTTAACACTTTAATGTAAGTAGGGGGTTTGTGATGATTCTTCGAGACAATCAGAATATGAAAAAATATTTCTGGAAGATTCTGAACAAATTTCGGATGCAAATATATTTATTACCCATTATGTTAATAGATGTTAACAGGTTCGGCAGAATCCAGTGCCCTCGTCTGTACGCTTTTGCCGTCCCATTTCTATAGAATCTTGCAAGGAATACCAGCAAAATCCAGAAAAGTACATGTGTCCATACACGTACATACACATGTTAAATAACGCTGGTTACCATGATAGATGAAAAAGTTGCTCAAGTTCTTATTAGTAGGACATCTTGTTCGAAATGCACACTATACAATGCTAGCCCAAAACAAATGGTTTGACATTAAATGCTGAAGAATTTAGTAATTACACATTTGAGTCGATTTTACCGAAATTTGTAAAAATCAGCTGAATTTGCAGGAAATCTCTTATACCAAGTTCACACGAACAGTTAAATTACTTAATTCGGTCTCTAAATTACAATAGCCAATTAACGACACATTTGTAATTCGTTTTGACAGTTCATCGCCATGTTGTTTTTTAATTTTTTATACCCTTCACCTTCGTGAGAAGGGTATATATAAGTTTGTCATTCCGTTTGTAATTTCTATAATATAATTTTCCGAAGCATATATATTCTGGATCCTTATAGGTAGCGGAGTTGATTAAGCTATGTCCGTCTGTCTGTCTGTCCGTCTGTGTGTTTGTTGAAATCAGTTTTTAGAGGACCCCAGATATCGGCGAGATCCGAATCTTCAATAATTCTGTTAGACATGCTTTCGAGAAGATCGCTATTTAAAATCAACAAAATCGGTCCATAAATACCGGAGATATGAGCAAAAATCCGAGACAACCTCTAAAAAATTCATAAAAAATACAATTTTTTTCATGCTTTAATATAAGCAACAACAACAACACAGCTTATTCATTGAGTATTTCGTTTCATATGTTTGGATGGCTGTGTGTTTCATTGCCTTGTGTATATTGTTTTTGTTTCTTGGTGCATTCAGTTTCGTATGTTTGGATGTCTGTTGGTTTCATTGCGTTGTGTATTTTGTTTTTGCTTTTTTGAGTATTTCGTTTCGTATGTTTCATTGCATTGTGTATATTGTTTTTGTGTTTTGGTGTATTCAGTTTCGTATGTTTGGATGTCTGTTGGTTTTACTGCCTTGTGTATTTTGTTTTTTTGTGTGTTTATTTTAGCGTTGTTGTTGTTCGTTTTGCTATTGCTATAATAATTAAATAAACAGGAAAATGAAATAAAATTGTATAGAATTGATATTTTTAAATTCACTGTGGTGAAGGGTATATAAGATTCGGCACAGCCGAATATAGCACTCTTACTTGTTTTTGATATATATGTGTGTATGTGATACAAAAATACATTTGTTACATTAGTTTAACAAATTGTAATATATTTTCTATTTATTTGTATTTTTTGTAATTTTATTTGTCTCCAATCAGTGAAAAACAGGTAATTATGATAAATACCCGATAAAAATTAGAGATGACACTCATTTATTCGTAATTCGTACGTAATTCAAACTGAATTACGTACATCTTGCTTAAATATATCCGTATACCAGAAATAGAAATTGTTGAGAATTGTGAGGGGCATTGGTCCCAGATAGAAGAGAGACTGGCTTAGGGTAGATAAAATATACTTTCGTGTGTAAACTGGATTGAAATAAATATGGCAACAACAGAGGTTAACGTATTTATTGAACGTATTTATGGATACTAGGCGATAATCGGCAATTAAGGAGCGAATATACTTGGGATGAAGAGTCTTCTCTGAATGAGTAGGTCTAAGACTAAGGCGTAGGGTTTAAACAGTAAATTAATTAAATACATTTTAGTAGAAAAAATGTTTTATTAAAATATGAATGTATATCTTAATGATAATAATATAAATAATATAAATAATTAAATATAACAATTAATAATTTAGCAATAATATGTATAAAATAAACTTAACAAGACACTTTAAAGTAATACTAAATTGGCAATATACGGCATTACGATACTAATTATTTAAATATATGTAAGTACTATGTACATAAATTAATCCGTCTACAAATTATTTAATTATTATTTAAAGTTAATTCTATATAGTATGTAAATATGTTAAACATAGCTAAACTAACATACTGGCATTATTGTCACAAAATTCATAGATATTGTCCACAAAGAACATTTGGTCCTTAGTTTCTATGGTGGCAGTTGGAGTTGGCTCTAAAACGGTTGGTGGTGGCTTTAAAATATTGTCTAAATCGATTGGCACTCCACAATCATTTAGATCTGCATCCAATGTTAAACGTTTAAGATTATTTATAATCGAAATATCGTGTTTTATTTCATTTTTAACTTCTAATAGTTCGTGTTCTGTCTGTATGATTTCTTTGGCACACTCTTCAATACTTTTTTGAATTTGTCCCACAGATATTTCAAGATTTTTATCGGATGTGGTGTATAAATCATTTTGCAGCTTATACATTTTACATTTATTGGTTAGTTCCTTGGTGAGAGCATATTCACGATCATAAAGTTCATTCATTTCGGCATTTTTCTGGGCCAATTTGTTGCGTACAGAACTACGTATAGAGGAATCTTTGCGTTTGCGTAGAAAGTTATTAAAGTCAACGCTATCGCGTCGTCTATCATGAGAGCTTCTTTTATCCTTACGTCTACTAGCCGAACGCCGTTTACGAATCGAAGATCTTGTTTCAGATAATTTGTATAGCTTTTCTTTATTTATTTTAGTTTTAGCTTGAATTTCCGTTTCTTCAATTGTGGGTTTAATATTGGAACTTTTCACTTTGGCTTCCGCATTTTTCGTACAAATATCCTCATTAATATTTTGCAGTAACATAAGATCGTTTGATTTTGTTGGATTTTCTTTGTCCTCTTTTTTGGATTTTGTTGATTTATTGGACTTTTTTGATTTTGTATTACGTTTTTTATTTTTACCAAAGGTAAGCAATTTGCAAATATAATCACGTATAGACGATAGGGTGGTGTTGTTTTTTAAAGCCTTTACTGGATCCTGTATATCTTTATGATGTTTTAAACTTAATCGTATCTGCAAAGAAAGTTTAAAGTTGTTGGGATTAGTATAATACAAAAGGTTAAAATAAATAGTTATATTAAAATTTTACTAAAAGGAATTAGGGTTTTCGAAAACCTATTAAGTAAATGGAACGATTTTTGAGACACTTTACAGATCTTTGTTTAATTAAAATTCAATTTATTTTATTGGGAGAAGTCAACTACATATATTGCCGTCGGCAAAGATTACTTCTCCTCTTACTAGTGTTTATAAAAAACCGACTTTTGGAAAAACCGGTTTTTCGGTTAACCGAAAATTAACCATTTCTAAAAAACCGGTTTGTCGGTTAACCGAGTATAAAAAACCGGTTAAACCGGTTAACCGAAATGTTTGGAAATCTTTAAAATATTATAATATATAGTTGAAAAATGTCATTTTGCGAAATATTATAAATTACTTAATAAGATATTTGCATTTTTTAGTATAGATATGTACATTAATATATCATAAGAAAACAAACTTATATAGATCTGAAGATATTATTGATTCGTTAGGTATATGGAAGTTGCCATACGAGGGATAAATTGACCATATATATCAATAGCAAAAATTATGCCCAGAACTATAAACAGTGTTCAGGTTCGCGACGATTGTCTCGACATAGACAGTGACCTCCCTCCACTCACTACGCCTGTGGTTGTTCAAATTACTGTGAATGACGCTTAGGAATATTGACAGGTGTCATTCTGACTTCCTGTCAATCAACCTAAGCGCCATTACAGTTTGTGAAAAACCCCAGCAGCATAAGTTCTCGGACGGCAACAACAATCCTTATGTTTCGATAAATAAAGTCCGTTTTGAGAACGTTTGAGAAACTTCTCGATTTTTACTATACTCACGCAGTAAACAAGTAAGTATATAGATAATATTTGTTTAACAATCTTAGGTCTGTTTTCATATGCACAAACGGAAAATAATGTTTAAAATTATCTATCCAAAATTTTTAAAAATCACAATAAAATATCAAAGAAAACATAAAATTTTGTACTAAAAATTAGATTTTTTTGAAACCGGTTAACCGAGACTTAAAAACCGGATAACCCGGTTAACCGAAAACCAATGTTTTAAAAAACCGGTTTGCGAAAAACCGAAATATGCAATAAAAACCGGTTTTTCGGTTAACCGGTTAACCGGTTTATAAACACTACCTCTTACGGAAGATTTTCGAAAAGGACAACGAACGAGAAAGACTCACTCGTTGCCTAATCAGACGGACCCAAGTTTAAGAGGGGGTATATTTGCTTAAGTCCCGCTTTATACGATATTAAATTGGTCACAATGGGATTTCCTTTTCTTCGAGATTTGGCAGATCTCGCTCAAATTCATGGTTGCAACGAATTAATCGTTCATCTGCGCTACTGGTTAGATACTGGTTCTCACCAATCTTAATAGTGAATCAGTGTATGATCCGTTCCGGTTATCACAACGGATCCAATAATGGACAAAAGTCGGTCTTATTTTTGGCTAACTGCCTTCATAATCTAAACCAACCTAATGAAGTTAAGAAATTTGGAAATATATTTTGAAATATCTTAAATCTTATTAGAAATCTTTGAAAAACATTTCCAAATTTTTTTTAAAAAATCCTTAATTCTGGGTCCTATATTTTATATTAAAATCTACTAGTTACATAGAGAAAAATTTTTAAATTCCTCATTATTTTAATTATGCAATCACGGCAAACAGAAAAAAATCATGTTGACTTAACATGTTGGTAAAATAAATATGTGTGTATGTATGTGTGAGAGAATATATGTGAGTATTTATTTTATTAAAACATTACCTCATTGTGTACACGACTCCAAGCTTTCCAAACCGGTAAAATTGCCATGTTACCATCGTAGCTGCGTTCTATACCTCGCCAACATTCCGTTATAACGTAATCGCTGTAGTCACGCGATGCTGTTCCATCTTTTATTATAGAAAGTGGATATGTGCGCGTTTTTTTTCATTTATTATTATTTTTTTTGGAGGAAAAGTTAAAGCAAAATGGCGCCATTGTTATAGGTGGTGGTAAGAAACGGAAGTACAATCATCATAATATAAAAAAGTAAACGAAAAAAGTAAAAAATAAAACAAAATTAAACATTGTAAATTTATTATCGCCTTAATAACTATGTATAATATCTTTACATACAAACTAAATATGGTATTTTTCGGGTTTCTTTGTATGTATGAATATTAAGTTTGTATATATTTTTGTTTAAATAACTAAAATGACTGTTGAGATTTTGCTATGTTTTTCCTACTCTTACCTTTAAATCGTTGACAGTATTCATAATTGCCATTACTGATTTCATCATCAATCAAAGCCTTGATTATGTCATTGCATGTAGTTTTATTGGTGACACCAGATACATAACGGGGTTCATCGCTAAGCCATATTGTTATTTCTTTATGACCTTGCTCCTGAAATAGTAAACAATTTATTTGATAAATATAATTACATTTTTATTTAGAAATCGATAAAGTGTTTTTTTAATTAGATCTTTTTTGTTTTTTTATTAAAACATGTTAATTAGGATAATTTTTTTTCCTTGGTCAGTGGGATTATTTTTTCCTAAAAACAATAAATTTGAAAGAATTCGAGGAAAAGATTCCAAGGAATTAATATAATGAATGAATTCTCCTTGGAATTAAAAAGCTTTACTTCAGAGGAATGGGTTGGTTGGTAGTTTACAACGCCCAAACTGTGAAGTGCAGTCTTAAGGACTCCGTTTTGAGGAGACTCTACCACTTTTCAGATGTATCGTAGTGTATATGTGGTTTAGATTCATCCTGTAGTAGTGAGATATCTCAATAATTCGGAATAGATTCCTCTTGACACCTTAAACGTTTCCTCTTTACCCCTCTACATACATGTCTTGATTATTTCATATATTTTCATTCATTTGAAGAAGGCAACTGATTTTACAACTTTTAGAGCGGGTTTTGAGTTGGCAATCAAAATACCAATTAATAATCAGATTAGTTAATCTAAAAATAAATTTAGTCTGATGTTAATCTCCTTTGATGTTTTTGAGTACAAGATTAAACTTCGCAGTGTTGCCATACAAAACAACAGAAAACGTCACTGTTTGCTATCAAAACAATCCATGTTTTATAAAAAAAATTAATGAAGACTTAAATTTAAAACAAAAAAATGTATTTTGAAGTCTCCATTATATATACTAATAAATCAAACATTTTATTGTTTATTTTTATAAAAATTGTATTAATTTTTTTTGCATCAGCTGTTTACACAGCAAACAAAATTAACTGAGTACTCAAAAACAACTTTCGAGGATTAATTTTAATTTAATGCCTAATCGTTCACCTAAATATTGGCCCTTAATAAAACCAACTTCTCCAACACTGTTGCTACTGAAACTGTGTTGGAGAAATCAAAAGCAGGTCCCGTTCCCCCAAAAATTTGAGTGTTAAATTTATGAAAAAATAATGTTTGAGATAAATAGAGAAAACTTTATCAATGTATAAAGGCTCAGTTAGTTTCTACGTTTCGTTTCGTAACGAATCAGTTCATTCGTAGTCGTAATACAAAAATCGAGCGACAACCTTATAGTCAAACTAAGTGCTTACATAGGAAGTCGTAAGTCAAAAATGAATGAGCTGATTCATCACGAATCGGAGCAAAGAAACTTACTGATTCTTAAGAGTGCTTATTTATCGAAATCCGGCAATAATTGAAATTTTTCGATTCTCAGAGCATCAAAAGTGTTAACTGGATCAATGGGGTTGGAATTTTTCTATTCTTAGGCTATAAGAAGGTCTAACTTACAGTGTTTACTTTAAGTCTTAATTCTTTAAATAAAAAAATTTCTAAACTTTTCCAAAAATTTGGCAATAAATTCGTATTATTTGGATAATTTTAATAAAAATCCCGAACTAATAAAAATTATGTAACATTTCTAATCAAAATGTTCATAAATGTTCATAAATAGATAATGGTTAAGATAAAGGGTTTTAAAGTTCTTAAAGTAATTTAACACGTTGACGTATACAACGTCTAAAGATGCAAGCAGATAAGCCGACATATAGTGTTATTTTTTAGCTATTGATTTCACTACAAATCGGAGTATAAGAAACTTTTCTTAAATCCTTCAACATTATTTTAACATTAAAATAATATAGTTTCATTATATCAATAACATTTAGGATTAGAGTTTATATTCGGGCAGAACTCATGAAATTTAACGAAGTACTCAAAATTTAAATATTCATCTGAGCTACTTTATCATTTTTGTGTGAGCATCAACGTGTTAAATTATTTTGCTAATTATACTATTTCTCTTTTTTGCAACACAGACATCACCGCCACTCACCAATGTACTATTGACGCCGTATAAAGAAATTGAACGACTTCGACGACTGTGGCCACTACGATTACTTCCGCTACGATGATGTTTGTATTTATAGTAGTTACGTAGTTCCCTTTCCGTTGGCTCCCACTTGGGAATATAGTTAACATCTTGATGTTCATGATAATTATTAATAATGTTGTTATTATTATTATTATTATTGTTCTTAATGTTATTGTAATTGTTATTATTGTTTTTATCAAGATTTTCTTTATTTTTAGGCGGCAGTATGGGACTATAACGATTAATTTCGCCCGGTATATTCAACAATGAGGGACAGACTTCAAGATTACCATCGATTAGGGTAGAATTTTGTTGGGGTGCCATGGTCTCAATAAAATTATACAAATTATGAACTAAAATAAAAAAAAAATGAAAAGAAAATAAATAAATAAATGTTTTCAAATAAAAACAATTTAAAATATTTTAAATTATAAAAATGTTTTAATAAATACATAAGAGGTTTGTATGTGTGTAAGGATATGTAAATTTGCAGCGGCTAATACATATGTATTTTTTATTATTTTTTGTAAATCATGCAAATATAACATTTTCCTAAAGAACAACATGCAATCATATAATTTAAAGGGAAAAAAATCCATTTTCTAGTTCTTCATGTTTTAAAGTTATTTCAAATAGTTGTTAAAAAATTTTTACATTTTCGCAGAACTAAATTATAAAGTTTTTTTTTAAATAAAAGCCACCTCCATTATTGTTAGAAGGTATGTTTTTTCTTTTTGGTATTTGACCTGTAATAAAAAGCCGCCATAAAGTCGGACTATTTTTTGTTTCCATTTAGTTTTTTTTTTAACTAACGATCAATTTAGATTTCAACGAACGATAAAATAAATTACCCTCTGCACATGAAATTCTAACAATATTTTGACAATACTTAAAGGGGCGGGGAAGGTGCTCGATTCTGAAAAGGAGTTTGTAGTATAGAGGGTGAAAATGTTTGCTGTGCAATATTCAAACCTTTTACTATATTGTTTCTAGGGAATGTAAATTTTGTATTCTACTCGTTGCTGCATTAAGAAATCCAAATATTACTAGTATACCGGAAGTTAAACTAGTAAATTTTCTACAACTATTGTTGGTAATAATTATGCTCCGGTTTTTTCTAGAATATATTTTGCTAGGCTGTAAATATGTAAAATTGTAATGGATGAAAATGTTCCTTAGGACTATCATTACCATAAATCCTGTATTTGTAAGTATTTTGGGATTTAAAATTGTTTCAGTGGAGTATTTTATTGCTCACATTTTTTTATTTTGAGTATATCGACGATTGTGAATTCCCAGTTGTCCGACAAAGAGTCAATGCATCCGAAAAAAGACATTGATTTCTACTAACGTCTAACCACCTGGTTGTCTCTAATTAGTCTTTCGTCACGGATGTACGCTTTGCAAACGAGGATGAAACTAATCGTCACTTTAGTATCCCCTTTGTAAGCGAGAGACTGGACACTTAAATAACAAGCATAAGCTTTTTGCCTGGCTCTTCGTAATCTATGGGGTGACGTTTGACTTCCTCGTAGGACAAGCACATGTTAAAATAGCTAATTACCTGGGCATTTGGTGGGTTACCCCTAACCCTAAGTGGTAGTTTAAATAGCTAGTTCGGAATTGTCTGACCGAACTGCTGGGTTGTATTTTTATAACCTATGGACTTTTTAATCGAGCGTTTTTAAAGCAGCAAAAGTATATTGAATATAAATGTCAAAAAGTAAGGTAAGGTAAATGAGGTCTAGGATCAAATGTGGACTGATAACACCAAATTAACCAATAAATTTGTTTCAAAGGGACAGATGGACGGACTTAGCTCGATCGTCTTAGAATCTAATAATCACATAAGAACATAAAAATGTAGGTCAACTCGGAAAATTTTAATTTAATTGAATCTGTATATAGGAAAAACATTTATAGGAAAACATAAAATTAAATTTTTAACAAAAATATTCGTTCTATTTTCTTTTGAGAAATCTAATCATCCGTTTAAATACTTTGAAATTAAGTTTTCTTGAACTAGGGCAACATTAACTCTTATTCTTTCTTCCTTAATTCGTTCTAAATTTGTCCTAGAACAGATGCAAACAGAACCACTTTAAATTCTTGAAGAGTAATCTTGGAACTATTGGTATTGTAATTACTTCTGCAATCCGTTCTGTTGGACCATTGTTGTGATTATAAAGCACTACTAAAGCCTCCTTCACACGAGCACACAAGTAATATGATCTGTCAAAATTTTGTGTAAAAGAGAACGGATAGGGTCATCTAAACGCAATATGTAATGAAATCATCACACATTGAGAGAAAATACGGATGGGAAATTTGACAGTCGTATGGCTTTCTTCATTTTTTGAAATGTTTAAAAAAACAAGCAAGTCGCATTAGATCAGGGATGTATTTTTATGTAAACACATACAAAAAAAATGAAACAGCTGTTTCGATCTTACTTTGTTATTGTTTTATAGCAATCGTGTAAACACAAAAAATATAAATCATACGACTTTTATTCTTTTTTTGTCATACGGATGGAATTTCAGTTTACTTTTTCATTAGACTTGTCGTACGTATAGTGTGATCGTCTGAAGGGCCCTTAAGAACTTTTCATTTAATTAGATATTAGTACTACACTGGTCCAATTAATCGAATTAAAAAAACTCATGTAAACTTTCATATTAATATAACAAATCGAATAACGAATATACTGAGAGTATTATTTATTAAAAAATATCGTTCAGAAGTTACATACGTACATATCTCCTTTAGATGAAATCTTTCAACAAAACAAATAGACAAAATAGTAAGTTTTCGTAATTTAATTTAACCAATTATAAAACATTAGCTGTTTCTCAAAATTGGTCTCCATCTTAAGAATTTCAAATGATAATCGCGAAAAAAGAACTAGTTCCATGATTGAAAAATTCGAATAAAAAGTAATTCATGAAAAAACTCGTTTCAGAATAATTCCATAGAACGAAAAATCGCGAAAAAAGAACTAGTACCATGAGTGAAAAATTCAAATAAAAATAATTCATTAAAAAAACTCGTTTCAGAATAATTCCTTTTGATCCTAGCTGAATTGAATTCAAAATTAAACAATTTTGAATATTCTTTTTTTTTCGTCATGAGCCGATTTCGTTATAATCTTATTCGGCTGTATATCCTTTTATATGTACATATAAGAATTGAACATGTGGGGGTGTGTGTATGTTTTTCTAAAGTTAATTGTAATGAGTAGTTTGCGTGTCATTTATGATTTTTTTTTCTATGAATAATCATTTAATATACAAATATTAGTTACAGCGCTAGTATTCAATTTTGAATCAAGATATAAATATGTACATAGGTGAGTTCGTATACATTTTGAAATTGTTACAGTTCTAAGCGTTATTTTGCATTTTCATATATAAACAGTTTTGTTTGTGAAAATTGTAATTGAAAATGGCGTTTTAAAGGTTCAAGAAAGAGGTTTCTTACGAAATTTTATATAGTCAAGATCATTAAATTTGAGTAAAATGTTTACCCCCCCCCCCCTTTTGCATAAAATGCTTAATTATTAAAAGTATTAAACTAATTAATTTTGATGTTTCTTAAATTGTTTATAATTTGATTAGGTTTTAAAAAGGTGCAAGTGAAAATAATCCATTCATAATATATACGAAAAATATAGTACATTGTACGAAATGCTTCGTAGTTTTTTCGTAAAATTTTGTTATTTCCGTATATTACGAAAACAGTCTTTTACTTTTGTTTAATGTCACATGCCTTAACGAAATTATTTTTGTAAAATAAAACAAAATGTCTTAATATATACGAAAAAATATATTACAAATGGTTTTCGTAGGTTTGTAAAATTATAAAAAAGTTTGATTAAATAACATTTCGTAATATGTATGAAATTTTCGTAAATATTACGAAAAAAGTAGTAACGTAGTAGTAAAATTCAATTATCAATAAGAATTTTTGTCAAAAGTGTTTAAGTTTAAATTATTCGATATTAAAACAGGAGTTATAATACGACCCCTAATCTTCATGAGTTTCAAAATGAAAATTTTATATACAAAAAATAAAAAAACGTGGCATGTAAAAAATTGTCTGTCTTGAATCGATATCCTTTAATAAACAAATTAAATAAAAATTAATAATGTTATGTAAATAAAAGAAAGGATATACTGCTCTTAATTAAAGAATACTACGAAACTATTTATTAAATATTTAAATGAAAATTGTTTTAAGAAAATTAAATTCCATTTGTAAAGTCAATAAAATAATTAAATAAATAATGAGATTTAGTTTATTGACCTTATTGTAAGGAACTAATACAAACAATTATCTAAATACGTATAAGTGTAAATAACGTTACTTAAAATGTAAACTGACCTAACTAGGAAATAATTTAAAATCGAGTTTTCCTTATAATTTTAAAAGAAAAAATTTCATTCTATGAATTTTTAGTTTTTTAGTGATTTTAGTAAACTGTCTAAGTTAAGGTCTTTTACATTTTAGTTGACGCTATGTAAATACTTTGTGTAAGTTATGTATGTATGTAAAAGTACACATTTGTTGTATAGTACTCCTTGTTAGTTGTATCCATATAAACCATTAAATTTTTATTAACACTTTTCAATGTCAATTTTATTTCAATTGTCAATCAATGCAATTAATTAATTGTTTGCATGTCTTCAAATGATTAATGTTTTTTTCCATAAACATCTAATATTAAAGGTATTTATATTAAAGTGACAGTTATTTAGAGAATTTTTAATTTTTAAATTATTACTTAAGGTCTAAAGGTACGTTCACAGCTATCAAATATTTGACGTAAATGTCGTGACAATTAAATAAATCCACATTTTGAATTTATTACTTTGGAAGCTCGTTATTATTTGTGTCGACATTATTGGCAATTACAAAAATCACTTAAGATCAAAAACCCGTTACAAAGTAGTGGTTACGTCTTTTCTTCAAATATTTGATAAGTGTGATTTCATTTCAAAATGTAAAGATTTTGAAATTGGTTTTGTAATTATATAATTTTTTCCGAAAAACATACAAATCTAAACTTATTTGTAAAATACCTATTGCAAAGGGTATAGAGGATTTTATACAGGATTATAAGTAGTATCGTTACACCTGACATTTGAATTTTGAGAATTTCTAGAAAATCCTAATTTATTTAGTTAGTCTAGGTAAATCGGATAATAGCACACGGGCTTATAGTACACTGAAAATAAACCTCACTTAACTTTGCGAATGAAAAAAAGCATAACTACTTGTTTTCATAATATTTATGAACATTTCGTGCATAATACGAAAGACCG